TTTGTATTGTTCGATACATATGCGTACCGAACCGAAAGCACTGTATGAACGGTTCAATATCAATACGAGTATCGTTGCACCCCTAGTATTTACAATGATTTTCATGAAACGGCAGCGTTTCAGATTACGACTTGTTTTTTCTTCTTCTTTGGTGAATCGATTAAACTCACTGCGTTCAAACCGTCTGACATTTTTATACATTTTTCGTACTTCACACTCGGACCGTTTGACGTGGGCCTGTCAGGCTGTCACGGGGCTGTTGGTCCTGGTCACAGATTCAGCGGCTGAAGTCAGTCGATGTCCTGAACTGATTACTCTGACGTCTCTGCACAGAGCCAGGACTGTGCTGCAACCAAACACTGACAAACTGTTCTCCTCGCTCTGAATACAGGCCCCGCCTCCTGACACTCACCTGTCCTTCTGGGCTGACAGGTGACAGGATGATGTAATTGTCTCCATTTGATGATGTCACACGTGTGCCCTTCAGGGTGGTGGTGTGAGGTGTGTACATCTCCTGATCTGCCTCCTCTTCCTCTTCCTCCCGGTCCTCCTTTCTATCCCTCCACAGAGAACCTAGAGCTCCCAAACTGGCCCGGACCCCTGACCCCTGACCCCATTTGCGGTCTTGTTTGCTTTGGGTGGGGTGAGACAGCAACTTCCTGCCTGTCGTCTAGGAGACAGAGGAACATCAGCTTAGTGTAAGATAAGTTAATAAGCGCTCATTTGCTCTGGCGTCGTGAGGTCAAGGATACAGAAAAGACGCACAGTGAAGTAAACACGAGAGCAGAGTTTATATCAACCCGTCAGCTGTGAGCTTAACTAGCATGTTCAGCACTTGTTTTCTTGGATGGTCAGGTGATGTGTTGCTATGAATTATGGGATGGCAGTGTCTCCTTGGCTAAAGGAAGGAATAAAGGCAGCACTGAAGCTCCCTGTCACTACTGTCACTACCCGATCCGTACCGGAAACCCGATCGGTACCCCGCATGCGCGAAAGGTGTCTACTTCCGGTC